TAGTGATGGTGCAGGTTCAAACACTAGTGATGGTGGAGGTGTTAACACTAATGATGATGAAAGTGTTAACACTAGTGATGGTGGAGGTGTTAAAACTAGTGATGGTGCAGGTGCAAACACTAGTGATGGTGGAGGTGTTAACACTAGTGATGGTGGAGGTGTTAACACTAGTGATGGTGCAGGTGCAAACACTAGTGATGGTGGAGGTGTTAACACTAGTGATGGTGGAGGTGTTAACACTAGTGATGGTGGAGGTGTTAACACTAGTGATGGTGGAGGTGTAAACACTAGTGATGGTGGAGGTGTTAACACTAGTGATGGTGGAGGTGTTAACACTAGTGATGGTGGAGGTGTTAACACTAGTGATGGTGGAGGTGTAAACACTAGTGATGGTGGAGGTATTAACACTAGTGATGGTGGAGGTGTTAACACTAGTGATGGTGGAGGTGTTAACACTAGTGATGGTGGAGGTGTAAACACTAGTGATGGTGGAGGTGTTAACACTAGTGATGGTGGAGGTGTTAACACTAGTGATGGTGCAGGTGCAAACACTAGTGATGGTAGAGGTGTTAACACTAGTGATGGTGGAGGTGTTAACACTAGTGATGGTGGAGGTGTTAACACTAGTGATGGTGGAGGTGTAAACACTAGTGATGGTGGAGGTGTTAACACTAGTGATGGTGGAGGTGTTAACACTAGTGATGGTGGAGATGTTAACACTAGTGATGGTGGAGGTGTTAACACTAGTGATGGTGGAGATGTTAACACTAGTGATGGTGGAGGTGTTAACACTAGTGATGGTGGAGATGTTAACACTAGTGATGGTGGAGGTGTTAACACTAGTGATGGTGGAGGTGTTTAACACTAGGGAAGTGTCCTTGGCCCTCTTCTCTTTCTCCTATACATAAATGGCCTACCAAATGCTTCGCAATTACTCAAACCCACACTATTTGCAGATGACACTACATATGTCTTCTCTCACCCGAGCCCAGTCACGCTAGCCAATACTGTAAATACCGAATTACAGAAAATATCTACCTGGATGAGGACTAACAAACTTACACTAAACATTGACAAAACCTACTTCATTCAGTTTGGTAACAGAGCTACAGATGTACCTCTTAACATTACAATAAACGGATCACCTATCACAAAGCTAACAGAGGGAAAATTCCTAGGAATCCACCTCGATAATAGACTCAAATTTCATACACATATACAACAAATTTCTAAGAAAATTTCCAAGACTGTAGGCATACTATCGAAGATACGGTACTATGTTCCACAGTCAGCCCTCCTGGCCCTTTATCACTCTCTTATTTACCCCTATCTCACCTATGGAATTTGTGCATGGGGCTCAACAACAATTAACCATCTCAGACCACTAATTACCCAACAAAAGGCTGCAGTTAGAATGATAACAAATTCTCACTACAGGCATCACACTCCACCAATATTCAAAACACTCAACCTACTCACCATACAAAACATCCATACTTATTATTGCACCTATTACATACATAGAACACTTAACTCTGATATTAACCCTCCCCTCAAACATCTCCTTGCCAACCTCAACAGAACACATGACCATAACACAAGGCACTGATCACTCTTTGATGTTCCTCGTGTCCATCTCACACTATGCAAAAACTCAATGCACATAAAAGGCCCTAAAATCTGGAATTCATTACCTGTAAATATAAAAGAAACACTACCTGTTTATAAATTCAAGTCTCTTCTCAAAGATCACTTACTCACTCAAAACCAAATAAATACTGAATAACTGAACCTTATAAATTGTATATCCTATATGTTACTCACAATTATATCACACAAATGTTAAACCTAGGACCCAATCTAACTTTGTTATTTTTTGAAATACACAACCTAACAGAATACTCCATTCGACTGAATGTACAGCAATGCATGCAACCATATGACCTGTCTTTGTAATACTCACTTGTGCTTTATACTTATCTGTTTACAATAATGTTTTATCACTGATTTCATCATTGCTTAGTTAATCTTGTTAATTTTAAGCCAGCCCGTAATGCTATGCATAGTATAAGTGGCTTTGGCATGCTGCTCTTACCTGTATTTTTTTGTACCTCTGTATGTATGCTAAAATTACTAAATAAATAAATAAATAAATAAATAAATGGTGGTGTTGGTGGTGGTGTTGGTGGTGGTGTTGGTGGTGGTGTTTGTGGTGGTGTTGGTGGTGGTGGTATTGATGGTGGTGTTGGTGGTGGTGTTGGTGGAGGTGTTCATAGAGGTGTTGGTGGTGGTGTTGGAGGTGGAGTTGATGGTGGTGTTGGTGGTGGTGTTGGTGGTGTTGGTGGTGGTGTAGGTGGTGGTGTTGATGGTGGTGCTGATGGTGGTGCTGATGGTGGTGCTGATGGTGGTGTTGATGGTGGTGTTGCTGGAGGTGCTGGTGTTGGTGGTGGTGTTGGTGGTGGTGTTGCTGCAGGTGCTGGTGTTGGTGGTGGTGTTGTTGGTGGTGTTGATGGTGGTGTTGCTGGAGGTGCTGGTGTTGGTGGTGGTGTTGGAGGTGGAGATGTTGGTGGTGTTGGTGGTGGTGTTGGTGGTGTTGGTGGTGGTGTTGGTGGTGGTGGTGTTGGTGGTGGTGCTGGTGGTGGTGGTGTTGGTGGTGGTGTTGGTGGTGGTGTTGGTGGTGGTGTTGGAGGTGGTGTTGGAGGTGGTGTTGGAGGCAGAGTTGGTGGTGGTGTTGGTGGTGGTGTTGGTGGTGGTGTTGATGGTGGTGTTGATGGAGGTGCTGGTGTTGGTGGTGGTGTTGGTGGTGGTGGTGGTGGTGGTGGTGGTGGTGTTGGTTGTGGTGGTGTTGGTGGTGGTGGTGGTGGTGGTGTTGGTGGTGGTGGTGTGGTTGGTGGTGGTGTTGGTGTGGTGGTGATGGTGTTGGTGGTGATGGTGTTGGTGGTGATGGTGTTGGTGGTGTTGGAGTTGGTGGTGTTGATGGTGGTGTTGATGATGGTGGTGGCGGCGGTGGCGGCGGCGGCGTGGTGTTGGTGGTGTTGGTGTGTTGGTGGTGTTGGTGGTGGTGTTGGTGGTGTTGTTGTTGTTGTTGTTGTTGTTGGTGGTGTTGGTGGTGTTGTGGTGGTGTTGTGTGTTGTTGTGGTGGTGGTGTGTGTTGGTGGTGTTGGTGGTGTTGGTGGTGGGGTGTTGGTGGTGGTGTTGGTGGTGGTGTTGGTGGTGTTGTGTGTTGTTGTTGGTGGTGTGGTGGTGTTGGTGGAATGTTGGTGGTGGTGGTGTGGTGGATATGTGTGGTGTGGTGTTGTGGTGGTGTTGGTGGTGGTGTTGGTGGTGGTGTTGGTGGTGGTGTTGGTGGTTGGTGTGTGTGGTGGTGTGTGGTGGTGTGTTGGTGGTGGTGTTGTGTGGTGGTGGTGGTGTTGGTGGGGTGTGTGTTGGTGGTGGTGTTGGGTGGTGGTGTTGGTGGTGGTGTTGGTGGTGGTGTTGGTGGTGTGGTGTGGTGTTGGTGGTGGTGGTTGGTGGTGGTGGTGGTGGTGGTGGTGGTGGTGGTGGTGGTGGTGGTGGTGTTGAGGTGGTGTGGGGTGGTGGGGGTTGGTGGTGGTGTTGGTGGTGGGGGGGGGGGGGGGGGGGGGCGGGGGGGGGGGGGGTGGTGTGGTGGGTGTGTTGGTGGTGTGGTGTGTTGGTGGTGTGTGCGGTGTTGGTGGTGGGTTGGGGTGGTGTTGGTGGTGGTGTTGGTGGTGGTGTTGGTGGTGTGTGTGGTGGTGTTGGGGTGGTGTGGGGTGGGGGTGTGGGGTGGTGGTGTGGGTTGGTGTGTGTGTGGTGGTGGTGTTGTGTGGTGTGGTGGTGGGGGGGGGGGGGTGGTGTGGTGGTGGGTGTGTGTTTGGTGGGGGTGGGGGGGGGGTGTGTGGTGGGGTTGTGGTGGTGGGTGGTGTGTGGGTGGTGTGTGGTGGTGGTGGGGGGGGTGGTGGGGGTTGGTGGTGTGGTGGTGTTGGGGGGGTGGTGTGGGTTGGGGTGGGGGGGTGGTGGTGGTGTGGTGGTGGTGTGGTGGTGGTGGTGTGTTGTGGTGGTGGTGGTGTGGTGTTGGTGGGTGGTGGTGTGGTGGTGGGTTGTGGTGGGGTGGTGGTGGGTGTGGTGGGGGTGGTGGGGTGTGGTGGGGTGGGGTGGGTGTGGTGGTGGGGTTGTGGTGTGGGGTTGGTGGTGGTTGTGTGGGGGTTGGTGTGGTGGTGGGTGGGGTGGTGGGTTGGGTGGGTGGTGGGTGGTGTGGGGTTGGGGTGGGGTTGGGTGTGGGGGGGGGTGGTGGGGTGGTTGGTGTGGGTTGGTTGGGTTGGTGGTGTGGGGTGGTGTGGGTTGTGGTGTGGGTTGTGGGGGTTGTGGCCTTGGTGGTGATGGTGTGTGCGAGGTGCGGTGGTGAGTGTGTGTGGTGGTGTGTGGTGGTGGTGGTGTGTGGTGGTGGTGGTTGGTGGTGTTTGGGGTGTTGGTGTGGTTGTGGTGTTGTGTTTGTTGGTGGGTGGTGTGTGGCATATGGTGTGGTGTTGTGGTGTGTGTGGTGTGTTGGTGGTGTGTTGTGGTGGTGTGGTGTGATTTGTGTGGTGTTGGTGGTGGTGTGGTTGTGGTGTTGTGTGGTGTGTTGTGTGGTGTTGGTGTGTGTGGTGTGGTGATGTGGTGGGTGATGTGGTGGTGTGTGGTGGTGTGGTGGTGGTGGTGGTGTGTGGTGGGTGGTGGTGGTGTTGGTGGTGGTGGTGTGGTGTTGGTGGTGGTGTTGTGGTGGTGTGTGGTGTTGGTGGTGGTGGTGTTGGTGGTGGGGTGTGGTGGTGGTGGTGTTGGTGGTGGTGGTGTTTGGGTGTTTGGGGTGTTGGGTTGGTGGTGTGTGGTGTGTTGGTGTTGGTGTGTGTGTGTGGTGGTGGTGTTTGGTGGTGGTGTTGGTGGTGGTGTTGGTGGTGGTGTTGGTGGTTGGTGTTGGTGGTGGTGTTGGTGGTGGTGTTGGTGGTGGTGTGTTGGTGGTGGGTGTTGGTGGTGTTGATGGAGGAATCTGTGACTTTGTTTGAGAAAACAGTAGTTAAATCTGCTTTGAGGTGGTACACACACGACAAAAACTGCCCAAACTGTGTGAAAGAATTAACCGCTGTAAAATTACAAATAATGACATAAATAAGAGGTTGAGTTTAGTATGAACTATCACCTGCTTAACAGAATGACAGAAATCACTACAGATAAGACTAAACATACAAACTTATATTTTTCAAGTCAATTTGACAGGTAAGAATAAGTAAACTAGAATTTTGAAGAAGTGTATATTAGTCTGGTCTTTCTGTTATTTTAGATTTGTGTTCTTATACCACGTTTAATATGTCTCACATATAATTCTAATACAGAGCATCAATTTTGCTTGGATTTTCCTGCTGAACTGACAAATCATAAGAAATCTTACAAGATTTGATTTTCTCAAAAAGTTTTTAACCCTTAAACTGTCCAAACGGAGATCTACGTTTGCACCACTAGTGCTCCGACCTTCATTTTCTCCCTAAAAAAGAATGTAAAAAAAAAATCTACGTTCAGAGCGCTAGCGGTACAAACGTTGATCTATGTTTGGACAGCTGAAGGGTTAAAACACTTCACATTGCTATGTATTCTCTCTCATATATGAGTTATCATATGATTTACTAAGTTAATTTTATGGGAAAAACTCTCCAGACACCTTGAACACTGATATGGTTGTTCTGTGTTGTGACTTCTCATGTGATTTTCAAATTTTATTTTATGTGCGAAGCTTTGTGAGCAAAGTGAACAACTATATGGCTTCTCCCCCTCATGAATTTTTTGATGCAATATTAAATTTGATTTTCTTGAAAAGTCTTTCTGACATTCTGAACACTTATACGGTGTTTTTCCTGTATGAATTTCTAAGTGTTTTACTAAATTTTCTTCTTCTAAGAAACTTTTCTGACACTTTGAACACTTGTATGGTTTATATTCTTTATGAAGTGTCATGTGCTTAACTAAAAAGGACTCACTTGAAAACATTTTCTGACACTCTGGACACTCATGCGTATTTTCTCCTGCATGAGTGTTCATGTGTCTCACTAGAGCAGATTTTGCTGAAAATAGTTTTGGACACACTGTGCACTGATATGGTTTCTCTCCAGTGTGAAGCCTCATGTGTGAATTGAGGTGACAGCTTTGTTTAAAGTCTTTCTGGCACACTGGACACTGAAATGGCTTCTCTCCTGTATGATTGCGCATATGTCTCACCAGGGCACATTTTACCGAGAACAGTTTTGGACATACGGAGCACTGATATGGCTTCTCTCCTGTATGTAGCTTCATGTGTGCATTCAGGTGACCACTCTGTCTGAAGTCTTTGTGACACACTCGACACTGATACGGCTTCTCTCCTGTATGAACTCTCTGATGTTCATATAGTGAGGATTTATTAATAAAATCTTTCAGACAAACTGAACAATGATATGGTTTCTCTCCTGTATGAATTCTCTGATGCTTATTCAGTGAGGATTTATCACTGAAGTCTTTCAGGCACACTGAACAATGATATGGCTTCTCTCCTGTATGAACCCTCTGATGCTGCTTCAGTGAGGACAGACCAGTAAAGTCTTTCAGACATACTGAACAATGATATGGCTTCTCTCCTGTATGAATTCTCTGATGTTTTTTCAATGAGGATTTATCAATAAATCCTTTTAAACATTCTGGACAATGATAAGATCTTTCTCCTGTGTGAATACTGGTGTGTCTTGTCAGCTTGTAACTAGTCGAGAACACTTTTTCACATACAAGGCACTGATGGACTTTCTTTACCTTCATCTTGCTTTTATTTTAAGTTTTTAAAGTAAATATTTCAGTAATTCCTTGTAGGCTACTCACTACTTCACATAACAACAGACTTACTGTACTTCATGTAACAGACTTACTGTACTTCACATAACAACAGACTTACTGTACTTCATGTAAGAGACTTACTGTACTTCACATAACAACAGACTTACTGTACTTTACATTAAATACATTCTACAGTAAAGGTTTTCTAAAAAAAAAAAAAATACTGACAACTGATAAAAAAATTCTTTTCACATAAACTTTTGTAACAAATACAAATTGAAAAATAAGTCACATAACATTTACAAAGAGGTTTGTATATCTTATTAAATATTACAATTTATTTTTTGTATAATTTCAATGTATAATGTATTACATTTCAGTAATGTCAGAGCTAGTGTGGGTCATGTAAGTGGGTTCTAGTGTTGGTCGTGTAAGTGGGTGCTAGTGTTGGTCGTGTAAGTGGGTGCTAGTGTAGGTTGTGTAGATGGGTGCTAGTGTACGTAAAGTAAGTAGGTGGTAGTGTAGGTCATGTAGGTAGGTGTTAGTGTAGGTTGTATGAGTGCTGGTGTAGGTCACATAAATTAAGTGCGTGATAGTGTAGGTCGTTAAGTTAAGCAAGTGCTAGTGTAGGTTGTGTAACTTTAAATATCCCATACACAAAACACAATTCTTATTCCACAATAAATCACACATCAACACAATTACCATCAGTATTATTATACGTATAATAATTACAATAAACTTCTATTATAAACCGATAAATGCCATATGATAGGTAAAACTGTAACCAATAAACTGTTTCTTGCTAAGAGTTTTTTCATGATTATTGATATGCTAAATATTTAACCTAATTCATGCAGTTTCTTCACTCGTATTGTACAATGAAAAAATCATTGAGATGTCATAATGATGATATACAAAGAATATTTCAAGGAAATCAGATCAAAATAACAAATACTCTATATTGTGAAAGAAATTAGTGGAGAAATTTTTGACTATTATTTTTACAATAGTGGTTAGACAATTATTTTCATAATAGCGGTAAGACTATGACTATTGTAAAAGTTTAACAGAAGAATATAGAAATACTTAAAATACACACATAGTCATGAATTAGGATTCTTTTTAAAAGTCTTTCAAAGAATTAATTGTGAGATGTAATATGTACACAGTACCACATAATATGTACACTGTACCACACTTTGTTACCTTCGTTCAATGGAAAAGTTAGAAATTACAAGATTTCTTGAACAGTTCAGTCAAATACTGACAACTTTAACACACACATTGACAATAGTGCTGAAATACTGCTGACACTTGCTGATCTTCAGTACTTCAGGCAGCGTAGTATGCTTCCTTGAACTTGGTGCTGACACTAGTTCATCTCAGTACTTCTGTCATTTTCTGCAGTGTGCTGACACTGGTTGTCAGCATGGTGAGTTTACTACAGTGCTGACACTGTAAACACCAACTGTAAAAGAAAAGTTGAATAAGACCTTTCGTAAATCAATTTCTGCTGAGATATCAAGAATGTCAGTTACTGTAGTAAGAATGATCACACAGTCTACTGTCAGACAACACTCACTCTTCAGTCTACTGTCAGACAACACTCACTCTTCAGTCTACTGCCAGACAACACACTCCCCACTCTTCAGTCTACTGCCAGACAACACACTCCACACTCTTCAGTCTACTGCCAGACAACACACTCCCCACTCTTCAGTCTACTGCCAGACAACACACTCCACACTCTTCAGTCTACTGCCAGACAACACACTCCACACTCTTCAGTCTACTGCCAGACAACACACTCCACACTCTTCAGTCTACTGCCAGACAACACACTCCACACTCTTCAGTCTACTGCCAAACAACACACTCCACACTCTTCAGTCTACTGCCAGACAACACACTCCACACTCTTCAGTCTACTGTCAAACAACACACTCCACACTCTTCAGTCTACTGACAAACAACACACTCCACACTCTTCAGTCTACTGCCAAACAACACACTCCACACTCTTCAGTCTACTGCCAGACAACACACTCCACACTCTTCAGTCTACTGCCAGACAACACACTCCACACTCTTCAGTCTACTGCCAGACAACACACTCCACACTCTTCAGTCTACTGCCAAACAACACACTCCCCACAAATAGTCTACTGTCAGACAACACACTCCCCCACTCTTCAGTCTACTGCCAGACAACACACTCCACACTCTTCAGTCTACTGCCAGACAACACACTCCACACTCTTCAGTCTACTGCCAGACAACACACTTCCCCACTCTTCAGTCTACTGCCAGACAACACACTCCACACTCTTCAGTCTACTGCCAGACAACACATTCCCCCACTCTTCAGTCTACTGCCAGACAACACACTCCACACTCTTCAGTCTACTGCCAGACAACACACTCCACACTCTTCAGTCTACTGCCAGACAACACATTCCCCCACTCTTCAGTCTACTGCCAGACAACACACTCCACACTCTTCAGTCTACTGCCAGACAACACACTCCACACTCTTCAGTCTACTGCCAGACAACACACTCCACACTCTTCAGTCTACTACCAAACAACACACTCCACACTCTTCAGTCTACTGCCAGACAACACACTCCCCACTCTCCAGTCTACTGCCAGACAACACACTCCACACTCTTCAGTCTACTGCCAGACAACACACTCCACACTCTTCAGTCTACTGCCAGACAACACACTCCACACTCTTCAGTCTACTGCCAGACAACACACTCCACACTCTTCAGTCTACTACCAAACAACACACTCCACACTCTTCAGTCTACTGCCAGACAACACACTCCCCACTCTTCAGTCTACTGCCAGACAACACACTCCACACTCTTCAGTCTACTGCCAGACAACACACTCCACACTCTTCAGTCTACTGCCAGACAACACACTCCACACTCTTCAGTCTACTGCCAGACAACACACTCCACACTCTTCAGTCTACTGCCAGACAACACACTCCACACTCTTCAGTCTACTGCCAGACAACACATTCCCCCACTCTTCAGTCTACTGCCAGACAACACACTCCACACTCTTCAGTCTACTGCCAGACAACACATTCCCCCACTCTTCAGTCTACTGCCAGACAACACACTCCACACTCTTCAGTCTACTGCCAGACAACACACTCCACACTCTTCAGTCTACTGCCAGACAAAACACTCCACACTCTTCAGTCTACTGCCAGACAACACATTCCCCCACTCTTCAGTCTACTGCCAGACAACACATTCCCCCACTCTTCAGTCTACTGCCAGACAACACACTCCACACTCTTCAGTCTACTGCCAGACAACACACTCCCCCACTATTCAGTCTACTGCCATTATTATTATTACAATCAAAAGGAAGTGCTAAGCCATAAGGGCTATACAGCGCTGCAGGGTAGGGAAGGAAGCGAGGGTATTGGGCGGCAGAAGGGGGGAGGGGCGATCAGTAGGTTACAGAAAACAGCGGGGCAGGGGATAGTGCAGGGGTAGAGGGTAGCAAGAGATTGAGGTAGAAAGGGCTGAAGGCATCAGAGTTTGTGAAGTCAGTTGTTGTCAAAAAGTCAATGAGAGAGTCCGGATGAAAGGTGGGTTCATCAGCGAGAAGGGAAGGTAAACAACTATACTACTCCAGTAGATTCACTGACACAAGAGGAGATATAAAAAAGACCTGGAAAACACTCTCTCAGATTCTAGGGACCCACAAACTGAAAAAAAACAAGAATATTGTCCTAACTAAACCTAATAAAACACCACTGCATCCCACTGACACAGCTAACAAGATAAACGACTTCTTCTCAGCCATAGGTTCTAATCTCGCCAATAAAATCCCACGTACCAATGCCCATGCTGAGGACTACCTAGATGGGAATTTCCCAAATTCCTTCTATCTTGCTCCAACTGAGCCCACGGAAGTCACCGAGATTATGAAGTCACTTAAAAATAACTCAGGGAATCTGTGTCATGTCCCACCATTATTGTACAAGAGAGCGGCCCATGTCCTCTCACATGCTATCTCATTACTTTTTAACAAGTCACTAGAAACTAGCACCTTCCCGAAACTACTCAAGACGGCAAGGGTTACACCAATACATAAAGATGGTGACCCTACAGACTTAAACAACTATAGGCCAATATCAAACTTACAATTGCTATCCAAAATCTTTGAGAAACTCGTGCACAGGAGATTATATTCATTTATAATGGCACAAAACATACTCAACCCCTGCCAATTTGGATTCAGGAAAAATAAAAGCACTAATGATGCAATCATAAAAATGCTAGATCTGCTTTACACAGCATTGGAAAATAAGGAATATCCACTAGGAATTTTTATTGACCTAAGAAAAGCTTTTGACACAGTAGATCACGGCATCCTACTCCACAAACTTGACCATTAGGGTATAAGAGGCCATGCACTTGCATATTTCAAATCTTACCTTACTTATATATTATCTTACAATATGTCACCATTAAAGACAACGCATCAACAACACAGCCACTTGATACTGGAGTTCTGCAGGGAAGTGTCCTTGGTCCCCTGCTCTTCCTCATATACATCAATGATCTTCCAAACGTATCTCAACACCTGAACCCCATTCTCTTTGCTGACGACACGACTAATGTCATCTCTCACCCTAATCTTGCCACCCTCAACACCACTGTTAATGAGGAGCTGATCAAAATATCGACTTGGATGACAGCCAATAAACTTATGCTTAACACTAACAAAACCTACTACATTATGTTTGGTAGCAGAGCAGGAGATGCACAAATTAACATTAAGATCGACAACGCTCTAATTGCAAGGCATAATGAGGGCGAATTCCTAGGCCTATACCTTGACAACAACCTGAACTTCAGCACCGATATCCAACACATAACCAAAAATGTATCCAAAACGGTTGGGATCCTCTCCAAGATACGATACTACGAGCCGCAAACTGCCCTTCTCACACTATACCATTCACTTATATATCCATACCTCACCTATGCTATCTGTGCTTGGGGTTCAACTGCAGCAACACACCTAAAGCCAATAATAACCCAACAAAAAGCCGCAGTAAGAATAATCACTAAATCCCATCCCTGGCAACACCCCCATCCCCCACTCTTCATAGATCTAAACTTACTCCCTGTTCAGTACATCCACACTTACTACTGCGCAATCTACATCTACAGGACCTTAAATTCCAATATTAGCCTTGACCTAAAATGCTTTCTTGACAGTTGTGACAGAACCCACAGGCACAACACCAGACACAAACATCTCTATGACATTCCCCGTGTCCGACTAAACCTTTACAAAAATTCAACGTATGTCAAAGGCTCTAAAATCTGGAACACCCTACCTGAAAATTCTAAAACTGCAGACACATTCATCACCTTCAAAACTACCATCAGAAAACATCTTATCTCCCTGATACACCCTGTCAACTAATTACACGAATACCACCTGGTGGTTAACACTAACACTCACTCACCCATTTGACCATAAACAGAAATATCAATCTCAATCTCAAAATAATGAATCTTAACTAGTCATAAGTTGGCCTGTGATACTCCAATGCTGAAACTATGTATAGTGCCAAAACAAAAGCATTCACATTGCTAAACTCACAAACTAGTATTTAGTCACTTAGCCATAATACCAACTTACCTCATAATTTTGTAATATTTTAAACTTAAGATTTAATCTAAGTCTGCCCGAAATGCCTAGCCATGCTAGGTGTTCTAGTGGTACACTCTGTAATTATTATTTTACTACATGTAAACCACACAATAACCAAATTCTGTAAACTCAGCATTGTAATCCTTATAGAGAATAAACTTTGAATTGAATTTGAGAGAGCAGCGGAGCGAAGACGACGATGGAGGTAAATTCTGTGTGCTCGTTGATAAAGTGGGCAGTCCAACAGAATGTGGCTGACTGATAATGGAGCCTGGCAATTCTCACAGAGAGGAGGAGGGCGCCTCTCCATGAGATATCCATGAGTAAGACGAGTATGGCCAATGCAAAGACGGGAGAGAGTAGTCTCCCAACCTCGACACTGGTGACAAGACGACGGCCAGTAACCTATACTCGGTTTAATAGATTGAAGTTTGTTACCGAGCATAGTAGACCAACGTTGTTGCCAACGGGTGTGAAGGTGGGAAGATATTGCAGCAAAATAGTCCGTAAATGGAATACCTCTATATGAAACTGGTAGGTCATGTACTGCTGACAGCGCAGCAGTGTCTGCCTGTTCATTGCCCTGTACATCAACATGACCAGGGACCCAACAAAAAACAATATTTTTATGCTTGGTAAAGATGCGGCGTAGCCAAAGTTGGATACGGAGGACTAAGGGGTGAGGTGTATCAAATTTCTGTATAGCCTGTAAAGCACTAAGGGAGTCTGAGACAACCACAAATGATGACACAGGCATAGATGCAATACG